TTCTAATCTTCCCGTCCTTTATTGTGGGTCAGCAACCACCCATCAGAGAGAACATTCTGCCTTTGGTTTTGTGGATGGGCTTATTTCGCTAAGCATGATAGTCTCCAGATCCATCCATTTACCAGCAAATGCCATGATTTCATGTTCCCTTATGGCTGAGTAATTCCACTGTGTATATGCACCACATTTTCTTTATCCCCCTGTTCTTTCTGAAGGAAAGGAGGTAAGGATGGGAACAGAGTCTCATACGTTTGATGGCCTCGATTTTCTCAAGAAGAAAGCCAGACTGCCCAGGTGAAATGGAAGAGGGCAAGAGGGAGGGAGCGGGAACTTGTGACAAATTGTGGCCCTTTCTTCTTTGATCAGTGAGAGGGTAGGAGTGGACAGCCTCCAGGAAGGTGCTGAGGGCTCCTTTGGGGTGGGGGCCATGAAGGGATGGACCATTCTTGTTCTGTGATTTTCTCTGACAGTGGTCTTCTGTCCAGGTCACGGGATGAGAGAAACAACAGCAACTCCATCCTAGGATTGGGTTTTCCAAGGGGATGAAGAGTCAGGACTGGGGAACAGAGGGGCTGGAGAGAGTCCTGATGCTTTAACAGAGGGGCTCCTGCCTGGACCAGACATCACGATACCAGCTCCCGAACACACCTGTCTGTGGGCTTTCTCGAATAGCTTACCTAACTTGAAACACCCAAGATCCATCCTTACACATACCCTTCCAGGAGCTGCTTGGTGACCCACAGGGACAAGGGGCCCAGTGCTGTCCGCTGTGGGTGCCACACACACATCCAAAGCCAGAAAACAGAAAATGGATGCAAACAGGTTAAATATCCACTCGAAAGCAAGGGAGTCAGAGCGTGCAGGTGCCGTGAGGAGCATAAGACGTGAAGATCTGGAAAGTGGTTATGACGGCGGTCGGAGGAATCGAACACCAAAGGTCGTGGCTGTGGGTTCAGATTCTGACTGAATAAGTGACATGGAATTCTGATTTGGGAAGGGATGATTTTCTCATCACCTTCCTTGATTCTGCACACCCAACAGTCCATTTTCAGGCTGCACCTGAGCAAAGACTGACTCTCAGAAGGAACAGGGTGTAAAATGTGCCTCCTGCTGGGACTACATGCAGATAAAGGCCAACAGAGCCCACCGGTGGTCAGGGGCAGAAGCTGGGGGTAACACAAAGAGGGAAGGAGTGGAAAGAGTCCCTTCCACCGACAGGGACTGCTAGCAACACATTTCTTAAATTCTGAGCATTTGCCCCAGCTCTGAGGGCTCAGGGCAAACCAGTAGGGACCCAGAAAGCAAATCCTGGCTGTCCAGTTTCAAGGATCCCCCCTCTTTAGAGAGCCAGGACCTGCTATGGAACCACTGTGAGGTTTGCTAATTCATAGCTTATAAATATGTATCACACTCTACATCTCGGTCTCATTTCAGAGTGTGGGCTCACTTACCCTTAGCAAATCTTTTTGTCACTTTCAAAAAGTCTCCAGCTTCAAGAAACCTTCTGCTGTTATAAATAGACACCCGGGCTCGGGGAAACACGCCTGTCAGTGTCAAGATGCTAATGGGGGAAAGAAGGCAGACCCTACCTCCTGCCTTACAGAATGTTGTTTAACAAGATTAATTTATTAGGGCTGGGGGTGTAGCTCAGTGGTTGAGTGCTTACCTAGCATGTCCCCTGGGTTTGATCCCTAGCACCACAAAACAAAGAAACAAGATGAAATTCTGTCAGGGTGTACTGTGTATACATTTTTCTCATGTTCATCTTTGATGTGACTGTGTGAGTTAGGAATTGTTTTATTTGCCAGTGACAGAAACTCAACTCGAACTGGATGAAGTTTTATAAGTTGAACGAAAGCATTTTTTAAAAAAATATTTTTGTTACTTATTGATGGATCTCTATTTATTTATTTGTTCGTATGTGGTGCTGAGAATCGAACCCAGGGCCTCACACTTGCTAGGCAAGCGCTCTACCACTGAGCCACAGCCCCAGCCCCGAAAGCATTTTTATTAGCTCACGTATTCCACAAATATTTATTGAGAAACTATTATGTAGCAGGCAACTGGAGAGTTCAAAGGTAGTATCTGCTTCAGGCAAAGCCTGATCCAGCAGCTTAAACAGTTTTACCAAGAACTTGATTCCTCTCTCTGTCTCCCTGCTCTGCCTCCCACATGCTCATCCTTGAGCTCCATGTAGGAGTCATTTCGTTCTCACCCCCCCACCCCACCCAGCAACTAATCCTCCTCACATCACTCTGGCATATAGAAGAATCTCTCTCCCCGAGGAGTTCCATTAGAATCCTTAGGACTCACTCTGTATGGCTGGCAATGGGATATGGTGATTAACCTGCACCAATGAAGTCCTATCCTGTCTGCTGGGAGTGGGGCCAAACTCACCCCAAACACCCACAGAAGCAAATTCCTTAAAAGAGCATAGGAGTGCTGGAGGAAGAAGAGCAAATGAATGTCAGAGAAGAGAGCAGCAAAAAGTCATCAGTACATTCTGTCATTGTGCTAGCTAGATGGCAGGTCCCCCCCCACCCCCCCAGAATGGCTGAAAGCACAAACTGAAGCCTGGTTAGAATTCTGACTCCACCAGGAGTCCATAAACTGGGCAACCTCAGGCAAATTAGCTAACCTGTCTGTGCCTCGGTTTCCTCATCTGTAACATGAGGATAATGGTAGTAACTGCCTCATAGGATGGTGATGAGCATTAAATGAGTTCGTAGTTACAAAGCAGTTAGAACAGCGGCCTGCACCTAGCAAGCATTCCTGAGTGCTTGTTTTAAAAATGTGGAACCAGTGGGTACCTGGGCACAGAGTGGGGGGCCCAACAGGTGTTGCAGAATGGTGGTGTGACAAAACTGGTGGCAGGCACCACTCCTGTGGAAACTCACAGCTCAGCCCCTCCTCTCTCAGATCTGGTCCTCCTGTCCTGGGGGGCCTGGTTTGGGAGCTCTTTTCCCAGGAAGTCGGCAGCTGGGCAGAGACGAACGTCCAGCCCCCCACCCCCCGCCCATGTCTGCCCCTGATGAAGATGGCACAGCCCTGGAAGGCATCGTCAGAGCTGCAGTTCTTCCTACCAGCTGACAGGAAATCCATCGCAGTGGGTCCTGGGGGCCCATGGAGGTGTTCCTGGAATAAACACATGTGCCATGATCATCTGTGTGACGATTTAGGGCTGGTTTTTCCCCAGCCTGTGACTTTTCACGCTTCTGAAGCTGTATAAAAATGAACTGTAATCAAGCTGATCTATACATAGGCAGTCCCTGTCGCCCAGCGTGCTGAGTGAGGGTGGGTGTGTGGACGCATTTGCATAAAGCGGAGGGAGGGTTGAAGAAGGCTATGGGGGGGGGGGCGGGGGTTGATCCTTTTCTGTTTGTTGTTTGTTTTTGTTTTGAGGGGCTGGGTTCCCCCTTTCTGGAAGCAGAGGCAGAGAAGAAGGGAGGGGGAAAGAAATAGGGAGGAATCGCCCCTTTTGAAAAGAGAAGCATTGACCACAAGATCAAGTTCATCAATTCTCTGTCCACAGGGAAAGAATGGGCTGGTTAAAAAAAAAAAACTGGAACTGGCCAACAGGTGAGTGTGGGGTACAGAGGAAGGGGTGTGTGATCTCTCTTCTGTCTGCCTTTCCTCCCCCCACCTCGCCCCCTGCCCTTGTCCTGTATCTACATAAGGGAGAGATGTATCCGCAACCTTCTATGCACAGGGATATTTAGATATGCAAATGAGCATAGCTTGTTAATGAGCTGAGGGTGATTACACTGCAGGGAGCTGCCAGCCCCAGCTGAACAATAGGTGAAGGGACACCAGGTGTCTGGAAATGGGGAGAGGGGAGTCCCCCACCCCAGACTTCCACTCCTGCTTCAGCACCATGAACCTGTCTGCAAAATAAAAAATGGAAGGCCAGGGTCTGTCTTCTGTTTCTTCTACCATCAGATGCTGATGAGAAGTGGAGGGGCTGAGGTGGTGACTCCGTGGCAAATCATTTTCCTAGCATATGTGAGGCACTGGGTTCGATTCTCAGCACCGAATATAAATGAATAAAATAAAAGTCCATTGAGAACTAAAAAATATTTAAAAAAAAAAAGATGAGAAGTGGAAAGTCAGGTGAGATCTGAACTTTGCCAGGCCTAGAAGAGCAGCTGGGGCAGCCAGGGAAATGCACAGCTTTCTCAGATGGGAGGACCACCCTGGCAAGTGCCATGGAATTGGGGTGGGAGAAGGGAGACCCTGGAGAGTGGGCAGGTCCCCTTGTGCCTCTTTGGGCAGCATGTGGTCACAAGTCAGTGACTGGAAATCTTCATGTTTTTTTCAGAAGTCAGGGTGAAGTTTTGCAGAGGGGCAGGGAACCGGAAATGAAAGAGTCTCCTTTGAACTTCTGGGGAGAAAGGCTGAGCATCATTGGAAAAGGTGTGGACTTTGGAGTTGTGTGCACCTGAGTTTGTTGGGCCAGATGCATCCAATGTGTCATATTGAGGAGCCCTGCCTGACGAGGTGCCAAGTGCACAGCCAGCCTTCCCCTACCCATAAGATACAGGACTCTGACCATAACATATTACTTTCTCAACCACTTGAGGGTTGCCTAGCATAGGAGGTAATTACAGAATCTTATGTAAAACTTCTGTTGCTCAGGCAGATGCCCAGCCTGCACATCCTGAGTGCAGAGGAGTGGTACAAACCCAGCCAGCTCAAACAGGATTTGCAGTGTACTTTTTGAGCTGTTGTTCTGAGACACTTTAGAGCAGAGCAGGACACTCATCCCCCAGTCAGCCTCCCGGTTTTTGTGGCACACAGATAAAAAAGCATGGACTTGTCCCGAAAATGAGCTGTTTTTTTTTTTTTTTTTTTTTTTTTTTTTTTTTGCTTAAACTTGCTTAGATTCTCATGAAAGGCTTGAAACTCTCTCAAAACAGCCTAAATCTTTATTAAGTCTCCTCAAATCTCCCACATCTGCTATGTGGTTGGATCACTCCAGAATCAGGACATGTCCCTAACCTTTTATTAAAGGCCTTTGACTTTGTACCATGTCACTACAGCATCAGTCAACACTGCCTATAAATATGGATGCTATGCTAACAAGATGTATTGCTAATTTAGTGGCAGTGAAGTGCAGGCCTGGGGGTGGGGAGGGGCACATACACAGAGAACAGTATTGAAAAACAGGAGTGATAATTAGGGTTTAATAAATGGTAATTTGCTCCTTGCTGATGCATGTGTCAGGGAGAAGCGAAACAGAGTGGGTCCCTTCCAGAAAGTGGACTGGAGGTAGCATCATTTTTATCTTCATGTTGCTCAGTATTGAAGCTCCTTCTCGTTTACCTACAGATCCTCTCCTCCGAAAACAACCTCCTGTGGAACAAAGGAGAAGGCAATTAGATAAGAAATATTTATTACTGGGACCAAATTTTAACGGGACTTACAGAACCTCTTGGGTCAGGCCCCCAGAGGCAAAGCAAAGCAAAGAATGAAAACAATTACCTGGATCATTCAAGGGGAGGAAATCATTTTTGCTTGAATGAGTGTCTGAAGTATGGGAATGATTTTTCCCATCCTCTGCTTGGTCTGGTGGTGGAGACCTGGTGGATGGATTCAATAGCCAAGAATGGAAGCTGTGTTTGTGTGGAGGGAGACGATCAGGAACAGTGGAGCCCTGGTGGTAGGGTGGTGGGTGGAGACCAGCCAAGTCCACCTGGGGCTAGGGAGAGATTCCTTGGAGCTAGACAAGAAAGTCAGCAAAGCTGAAAATCCACATGGAGATCCCAGGCCCAACAGACGAGGAGTACAGTCTGAAAAGAGCCATATTTGGTGACGGAAGCTGGGAAACTAGAAAATCAAGCAAAACAGAATTGGGAGGAGAGAGAGAGAGAGAGAGAGAGAGACAGAGAGAGAGAGACAGAGAGAGAGAGACAGGAAGGGTAAAACATTTGTCTATGCCAGAACTTTCCAAACCTGGCCACACATCAGATTAACGTGTTGAGCTTTTAAATGCAGATTCTTGGACTCCAGTGGCAGAACCAGAGAGGTACAACTTTTCGAGGATCAGAGTGGTTTGCTACTGTGAAAATGGATGGTATGCTGTCATTCGGTGGGTCCTGAAATTCTCCCCTTCTGAAAGACAGTTATTTCAATTTTGAATGATGTATCATTTGCAGTTCATTCGCCCACTTGTTATTCATTTTTCATATACCAATTTCCAGCGGAGGGCAACACAGTATTTTCTGATCTTGCTATAAAAATTAATAGCAGCTAATTGTGGTGAACTTAAAATTCCACAAATTATGTGATACTCTTTTTCAGGAGGCAAAACTTCATTCCCCTATCCCTGAACACTTGGTGCCTTGCTGGTAACAGATAGAATACAGCAGAACTGACAGTGTCTGACTTCCAAGGCAAAAAAGGGCTTTGCAGACACTCTCTCTCTCTCTCTCTCTCTCTCTCTCTCTCTCTCATATTATTCACTGCCAGAGCTTCCATGTCATGAGGACACACAAGCAGCCTCCAGAGATGTTCATGTAAGAGGAACTGAGGCCTCCTGCCATCAGTCACTTGAGTGCGCCATTTTGGAGGAATACCCTGAAAGAGATTATGGGACCTCAGCACCCCTTTTTCTGGTCTCTGTGGCTGCCATGAAGTGAGCAGCTTGCTCCACCACGCATTCCCCACCTTGATGTCCTGCCTCACCACAGTCAACAGGGCCAATCAACCATGGACTGAATCCTGCACAACTGTGAATCCAAACAAATCTTTTCTCTTCATAAGATGCTTATCAGAAGATATTTGTTACAGTAACAAAAAGCTAACCTACTACCCTAAGTTAGGCATTGAGTGATTTGCCCCAAGTCATACAGCCTGGATTTGCACCAGGCAGTGTGACTGCAGCACCCATGCTCCTAACAATGTCTCTGGTAGAGCAACAAATGCCAGTAGGTACCAAATTCTTGACTCCTGGCATGAGACAAGTGGTCTGCTTCAGCTTTTCATTTCGGAAGCTCTGCTCACACACACTCCACTAACATCACCACTTAAGAGTCAGTCCCCTGGCCCCTCCCTTATTTCTTACCCTTACCATTCTGATTCAGCCCCTCATCCTTCCTGTTAGTTTTAGCCCCCTTCCTCGAGGATTTAAGTTCTCCTTCCTGTAGTAAATGGTCTCATGTCCCCCACCCAAATATATATCCAAGTCCTACCCCCTGATGTCTGTGAATGTGACCTTGCTTGGAAACAGAGTCTTTGTAGATGTGATTAAGGTAAGAATCTCAAGAGGAGATCATCTGGGATTTAGGATGGGTCCTAAGTCCAATGACTAGTGTTCTTATAAGAGAAAAGAGAGAGAAGGATTTGAGACACAGACATGGGGGAGAGCCACATGAAGACAGAAGTGGAGATTGGAGGGACGCACCTATAAGCCAAGGAGCACCCAAGAGTTGTTGAGCCACAGAAACTAGGAGAGACGCACAGAATGGAATCTCTCAGAGCATCCAAGGAACCAACCCTGCCAACCCCTTGATGTTGGATTTCTGATCTCCCGAACTGTGAATGAGAGAACAGCAAACTAGAAGCATCCTGGTGAAGTCTCCCTGTCTACAGCTCTACATTTAAACATGTAGATACTTGGGGATGAAGGGTGCGGGGGAACAAGGAGGTGCGATCCAGCACCATCACTTTTCTGCCTTTGATAGCATATAAAATTTCCCATAAAACCACAGCAAAGTATAACTTAAACATTTAAGTGACTCCTTCAGATCCTTAATGATGCTATAAATACAATCCTGGTATAATTTACAAAACTATTAAAATAAATGTGTCCACTAAAATTAACCATTGCTACCTCACAGCACATGTTTACACACATAACCTAAGTGCAAACTTACCTGACTATATACACCCGTGCACCAATGGTAAATGGAAGGTCTGGGTGCTGTTCACAAATGAACAGGGTATGTGCGTGACTTGAGGGCATCTTTCAAGGAGAGCTGGTCTTTCCATCTCACCTTGTCCTTCAGTTTGGAGAAATGCCTCCCCTGGCTGGATGCCCAGATGATGCCATCCATCCATGAATTTCACATTATGCACAGAAAGGTACTTGTGAAAATGATCGCCCCATCCTTTCCATGTGATTCAGCTCGTAGAGAGAGCCTCCACTTGGACCTTGACCATTTCTCATGTCACAGAGATATGAGCTGAGCCTCAGGCCGTGGGAGGTTTGGGAGCAGGGGAGGGGTGGGTTAAGATTTGTTTGGCATGTTTTTGAGCCATGAGATTTGAAGTCTGTATCCAAGGAAGCATGAGCCCAGGGCCTGAATTTAATTCATCTTCAATGTCATCACTCTTGGGTCTGTCTTGCATTTGTGCATTAGAACATTCCAGAAGAAACTGTAGAGGGTTGAGGTGATACCCGGGAGTCACAGGACTCAATGGAAGAGGGACAAGAAAGAGCTTACATCTGCTGTCTCATTCACTGGGACATCCATGGTGCCTAGCATATGGAGAATGTTGTAAATAAGTGTAGAAGGAAGGCAGGCAAGAGAGAAGAGAGGAAAGAAGAAGAAAAGAAAAGAAATTCTAAATAATCTAAGCCCTGAGGAATCCAGCTTCAAGTCCTGTTTCCACTATGTGACTTTGGGGAAATTTCTCTAAATCTCCATATTCCTGAACTTTTCTATTATAGGACCATTGCAAGTCTTATACAACATCACTCACATAAAACATCCAGAACATTGACAGGGAATAAGTGCTCCGTTCCTCATATGTCCACTGAATGAATGAATGAATGAAGTCTATCTGTCCTGTGGATGACGGGCCCTGGAGTTTAGGAGCATTGCATATAATGCATTGGGACTAGACAATTGCTTCCTGAGGTTTGTCAGCAGATCGCTGCTTGCTTCCTTATTTATGTGCTAGGTTTTCATCATTCGCCATCCACATTTAGGGGATTAATTCTCTGGGACATATAACCAGTAACACACCAGCCAGCCAGACAACGGATACAGATAGCAGCTGCCAGGGTTGTAATTCCCATTCCATTGACAAGCCTTCAATGAACCCAAGAAGAATAGAGCAGCTAAAAGCTTCCATTCAAAGTTAGTAACAATGAGTTCCGAGTGTGTGTGTGTGTGTGTGTGTGTGTGTGCAGGAGGAGGGTGGGCAGCCAGCCCCCATGCTTTGGGTCAGCACAGAACAGAGGCCAGGCAGATGGTGCACCAGGAGCCCACTGAGATTTCAGGGAACTGATTAAAGTTTTCCAATTTATAAAAGAAAAGTTTAAGAGGTATTTTTTTCTTGGCGGGTGGATACTGGGGATTGAGCACAGGGGCACTCTACCACTTAGCTACATTCCCAGCCCTTTTTATTTTGAGACAAGGTCTCACTAAGTTGCTGAGGCTAGCCTTAAACTTGCAATCCTCCTGCTTCATCCTTCTGAGTCACTGGGATTACAGACATGTATGTGCCATTGTGTCCAGTTTAAGAGCTTATTTTTCTTCTTCTTCTTCTTCTTCTTCTTCTTCTTCTTCTTCTTCTTCTTCTTTTTTTGCATACAATACCATTGCAACCTTTAAAAAAAACGTTATAGTTGGATTGTACCATGGTTCAGCTGTTATGAAAAAGTTGACTGGTTCTTCTAAAAGTTAAACTTCAAATTACCATATGATACAGTAATTCTACTACTATGTATATACCCCAAAGAATTGAAAATTACTATTCAAACCAATTCATATGCAGGCATGTTTATCCCAGCATTCTTCAGTAGCCAAAAGGAGGAAACATGCCAACGGTCCATCAACAGATGAAATGGATAAACAAATTGTAGTATATCCATACTGTGGAATATTACTCAACCATGAAAATAAATGACATTGATACATATTATGACATGGATGAACCTGGAAAACTCCATGCCAAATGAGAGAAGTCAGATACAAAGGTGACAGATAGCATGATTCCATTTATAAAAACTATCCAGAAGAGGCAACTCTATAGACACAGAATGAAGATTGGTGGTTGCTAGGGGTGTGTAGGGGGAGGGAGTAGAGGAGAGAAGTTGCTTAATGGGTGAAGGTTTTTACTTTAGAATTACTTTGGAAACATTTTGGATCTAAATAGAAGTGGTAGTTGCATAGTAGTATGTATGTGCTACTTTCCACTGAATTGCTGACTTTATTTTTTTTTTTTTTTTTTTTTTTTAAATGACACTTTTTTTAATATTTATTTTTTAGTTTTCGGCGGACACAACATCTTTGTTGGTATGTGGTGCTGAGGATCGAACCCAGGCCGCACGCATGCCAGACGAGCGCGCTACCGCTTGAGCCACATCCCCAGCCCGAATTGCTGACTTTAAAATGGTTAATTTTGTGTTATGTGAATTTCATCTGAATTAATTATTTTAAGAATTGCATTAAAAATATAAAAAAAAGAATTGCATTAATTAATATAATTACCTCAATACATACACAAGATAAAGAAAGATTCCAACTCCACAGACAGGTATATGTGAAAAATAAGCCTCCTTTCTTACCTTAACCTCAGTTCTCCCCAGAGGCAATTACTAGAATTTTTTATGTATCCTTTCAGAGGCATTGTAAGCCTATAAAACATACCTACATTCTTTATATGTGTAAAATAGTAGTCTGTTTTACACATTGTTCTGATGTGAAGAACGTTTTAAGAACACAGTTCTTAAATCCAAGAGCTTTGCCACACACCTATAATCCCAGCGACTCAGGAGACTGAGGCAGGAGAATCACAAGTTCAAGGCCATTCTCAGCAACTTAGTGAGGTCCTAAGCAACTTAGTGTGACCCTGTCTGTAAATAAAATATAAAAACAGATGGGGATATAGCTCCATGGTTAAATGCCCCTGGGTTCAATCACCAGTACCAAAAAAATAAAAATAAATAAATAAATAAAAATTCTCCTCTGCTCTCATTATCTACCTCAGGCCACCTCCTGCCCCTGCAGGTAACCCCCATTCAGCTCCCAGCAACCCTGAGCACCACGGCCTGCCAGGCTCAGACTTCTTCTGCAAGGTGGAGCCAAGCCCGACCTGGCCATTTATAAGTTATCCCCAAAGCTCAGCCTTTTGAATCTAGATCTCTAGAACCTGATGGAATTCTCACTTTGACTCTTATTATCCAATGTCTGAGAAACCAACTCAAAATTAAGACTGATTGACTAACTAGAATGCCAAGGTGTTTTAAAATGCCTACCGGTTTTTGAGCCCCTGCCGATGCACTGGGGTTAGGCACTTCTTGCCACATTCCCTTGGGGCGGATCTTATGGAAACCCATTTCACAAATGAGGAAGGAAATGGAAGCTTTAGAGAAATTACAGAACTTGCCAGCTCACGAGAAGGAAATCCATTTCCTACTTTTTGTTCTACCCCCTATTACTACATGGTTCCAAAGCTGTCACTCACGAGAAGGGGATCTTAGCAGCTACTGGAACATGTGCATGTTCTAACAAGGTCCCTGGGAACTAGATTGTAATCTGGAGATGAGCAAAGAATGAGAGCCTCTGGCTTAATGCCCCTTGTGGTATCGTCCACAACGTTACAACCACGCTAGGCTCGGCCCACGGCAGAACTGAACTCTCCATTGACCAGAATATTAGCATGAAACCTTCCTCTCCTTGTAGAGGCTGATTAAATCCTGGCAGATTTCCTGTTCTGTCCCTGATCCATCAGGATGCCAGGCAGCACTGTTAGCGGGGCAAACAAACCCTCGAATCCATCAACCTAGATCTGAATCTCAGTCCCTCCTTGTATCAGCCAGGAAACTTCAGATGCATCACTTTTTATTTCCTTTCTTTTTTATTTTTTTGGTATCAGGGATTGAACCCAGGGGCGCTTAACAACGGAGCCACATCCTCAGTCCTTTTTAATATTTTATTTAGAGACAGGGTCTTGCTAAATTTCTTAGGGCCTCGCTGAGTTGCTGAGGCTGGCTTTGAACTTGAGATCCTCCTGCCCCAGCTTCCCCAGCCCCTGGGATGACAGAGTGGGCCACAGCGCCCGGCTGGATGCTTCACATCTGCTCTACCAACTGGATCACAACTTCCAGCCCAGAACTCAGTCACCGTGGGCTCCCCCTCTCCCTCCTGCCCACCAGCAGGGTGTCCCCAGGCGCTCAGTATACTCTGTCACACATTCCAGTCCTGAGGGTTGTCTCTGGCCATGTTTATGGGGCTTGGGTAATTCTTAATCCTCTCCCTCCCGGCCCTCTGTCCCCTTTGCCCTCAATCCAAACAGGCATATGACCAGCTCCTGGCCCCAGATATAAAAAGGACATTGTATCTGAGACTGGGAGCCCAGAGCTCCTTGGGTCGGATTTCTACCTCCCACGGTCACTAATCAGGCTCTGGGAGTCACATGAGGACCCGTGACCCCCCAGCCCAGATGGTCTTCTGTCTCAATGCAGACCGAGACGCAATCCTGGAGACAAAGCAGCTACACTCCGCCTGATGCCCAGAAGCTCCAGGCAGACTCACCTCATTCTGCTAGCGAGTCCTCTCCCTGAGAAGCCGGGTAGTACATGAATTCATAAATGGAATCCTCTTCTGATCCTAATGATTACTGTTATTCCAGGGGATCCTTGTCCTTGGCGTATTTTCTCCAGATTGTGTCTCCTTCAATTGTGGGGCTGAGCTGTTATCTATTGAGTGTTTACAACATGTAAGTGGATTATACGTGAGTGAATTCATCCTCATAACAGTCTTGGAAGGTGGGTACTGTTTCTGTCCTCAGTCTAAAGACCTGAGCAATGGCCAACATTGATCCAGCACTATGGAGCAGATGCCCTTCTCCATGCTTTATGGTTATTAACTTAGTCCTGTATCGCTGCAGTTTTATGATATAGATGCTACAGCCGAGATCTCCTATTTACTGAGATTCAGAGAGGTTAAGCAAGTAGCCCAGATTATACAGCCAGCAAATGCCAGAGGCCAAGATTCAAGTCTGGGAACTGTGGCTCCTGACCATTCTGCTACTCTGCCTCCTGTTTTCCCCGAGGCAGGTCTCATAGGTACTGTCAGCAGCCCACAGCTACCATTACAAATCGATAGGGTGTGAGCCAGACGAGGCCTGGCTCAGCCACGTAGGTTCCTGAGGCACCGAAGGACAGATTTCACTGATTGATTTCTCAGCTGGCTCTTTAAATGTCAGCGTGTGCGTGACAACCTCAGGCCTTGGGCACAGAAATAAAATGCAGAAGGAAAGGACATTCTTGTGCATGGGATGAGAGAGAGAGGCAGGGCAGAGGAAGAGCAACGGCCCAGAGCACACGGGTGTGTGGGCCCCTGGAGGCCACGGGGTTGGGAGTCCCATGAGAGCGGTACCCTTGACCTTGGGATGCTGTGAAGCCGTTTATAGTGTGACACTATAGCCCAGGAGAGATGGGTTTTAACCTGATTTAGCTCTTCTGTCTGTATTGATTGGTCACCACTCGGAACTGCTTGTTTAGACCACTTGGCCACCAGAGCACAGCCTGTTGTCACCAAGGCAGCGGGACAGAGCAGTGACAGCACACCCTCCCTCCCACTCCCTGACCCACACAGACCCTTCCTGCAAAGCGCTCTGGGCCTGCCCAGCCCATTCACCCACTGCTGGAGGAGCTGAGGGGACAGACACACACATGACAGAGACAGAGAGTCCTTTCTACTCTCAGGCAGGCTGGAAAGAGACTGATAGGGTAAGGAAGGAAAGAAATCCACCTGAGGTGGATCTCAAATGTGCTCTGTGCAATCAAGTGAGAAATTGAGGCCATATGAGAAAGGGACTTGTCGGGAGCGACAAGGGGAAGGGGAAGGAAACCCAGAAAGAATCCTCTAAGGAAATGACACTGGGGAAAAGAGACCATTCTGAGATCTGGAGGAAGACTCTCAAGGTAGGGGCATAGCCCAGGCAAAGGCCCTGAGGCAGGAGCAGGCTCGGCCTTTTGAACCACAAGAGAGCTAGTGTGGTGACATTCAGAGGGTGGGGATCAGATGGATGCCCTCCTCCACTGCTCTGTCCCTCTGGGATGACTCTCACTTATGAGCAGCCCAGGCTCACTCACCCACAGGACTTGACCCCATCCCACCCAGGGGCATGACTGTGGATTGTCTCCTTGTCCTCAGAGTCTGGGGTCAATAATTTCAGCCATGTCTTAGAAGGAGATCCAGGGTGGGAGGTGGAGGAAGGGCTCCGGTCAGGGAGACCCAGAGGAACTTCCTGATCTTCAGGGACCACCGAAGATGGTGGTCTTCTAGCCCAGCTCCCGTCACATCTCAGCTGACCATCCATCCATGCATCCACATCTACCCTGGGCTCCGTCTCTGGGACGCTGCTCCCGGGCCCCACATTGGCAGTGACTGTCTCATTTCACTTAGGGCAACTCCCTCTCATTTGCCTAGCACGGATGAGTCCCACTCCGGGAGGGAGACCTTCCAGAGGCCCAATCCCGTCTAACTGCTGTTTGTTTGTTCCTCTGGCATTTGTTTGAAGGTGTGTTTGATGTTCCATTTCCTGTTGTCTGGTGTTGGAGTTTTCCGAGTGTCTCTTCCATGGTACCACGAGGTCCCTGGAAAGCTGGAGTTCAAGTGTTGGTTCTGCTGGGTCCTGGCTGAGGGGCTTTTGGCAGGGCCCTTCACCCTTCCAGGTCTCAGCCTCCTTTCATTCCCAACTTCCTTTGATCCCTAAAACCAGTTTATTGGTTTATTGGGCAGTGGATTCCAGGCAGGACAGCGGGACAAAAAG